AAGGTAACTAAAGCTGTGTGGGGGTCTGAAAAGTCGGGGGGGGGGGGGAGCTCCAGAGTGCTTCGGTGCAGTGTGTGGGGGCTGACCCCGACAGCAACCAACTCCTAGTCCACATGGTAACTGCCAATCTAATATTTTCCAGAAGTCTTTTTGGCAACAAGTTTAGTACTAGGTGGGCTGAAACAAAACAAAAAACAAAAAACAAAACAAAAAACACAAAAACAAAACAAACAAACAAAAAAACAAGGTCCACAATCCTTTCCATTGCTAAGTTTCTAGCACAGGGCCAAGTAAGTAGTTAAGACCGTCCAGGGTGCCAGGTCCCACACAGGAACGCCTGGTTGGACTCTGGCCAACCTGACCCAGCTTCAAGTGAATGCAGGCCCAGGACACAGCAGGAATGGTGTAAATGAACCAGCTTCCCACTACGCATGTCAGGAAACCCTGGACCGAGTTCTTGGCTCATGGCTTCTGCTCTGACCCTAGCCTGAACCCAGCCAGCCGCAGTCCCACCCCAATCCAGCCTTTGTCAGTTTTGAGGGAGTGAACCAGCACTCAAATTCTTTCTCTGTCGTCTCCCAACAAAAATTAAAAACATCCTGAACACAGAACCACGGCTCAGGCGGTCATTACAGAATTCAGACATTCTGAGTTGCTAAGACGGTAAAAAGTTACCTCAAAGTAGTTTAGGTGTTTCCCTAAGCTAAAAGAATCAGCTGGGAATATAAATGGAAGCCAGAGGTGCAGTGCAGACAACCCACACTTCGGAGAGACACCAGTCTGTGACAGGAAGCCAGCATCCTTCCGTGAGACGCCAACTTCTTTACAGCGCAAGCACACACTCCAACAGCACCTAAGGTTATATATACTCTGCACTTGCTGTCAACCCTACCTTGGAACCAAAGAACCAAACAGGGTAGGCTTTTAGGAGAAAAGGAAACATCCAGTTCGAGAAACTAAATTCTGACATGATCTGACTCTTGCTAAGATTTCTGCCCACTAAAATGCCCTGGTCAGTCTGTGCTTGGCCATGCCTTCACATGTGCCATGCCTACACGACAAGGAGCTTCACAAACTCTGGACCAGGTCCGGGTGTTGTGACAGGAGTCCCAGAAGGCGTGACACTGGAACACACATAACTGATGAGTTTCCCAACACGGAAGGTCATTTCCCAGGCTGTACGCCAGTCCCCTACGCCCCAACAGAGTCAGCCATCATAAACTACCCCCGCAGGGCTCTCCTGAGCCATGACTCCCCTACAAGGAAAATGTTTAAAAGTTTTCCTCCCAGAGAGAATGGAGAGGAGATTGTGAGAGTCACCGGCACAGGAAACACCAAACAATGGAGTCCCTGTGGCTTCAGTGGCCTAGGCCACCCAGGCCTCTCTATTCAGCTGGCAGAGGACCTGAGCAGACGGATCAGTCCGGCAGCTGATACAATGATGGAGGGCTGATCAAACTGAGGGAGACACAAAGACGCTTTCCAACAGTTACTTAACGGATGTCTGCTGAGCAGCATTTTACGTCCGACGAGAGACGTGGGAACTGTGGAGCAGCATGTCTGAGACGCCTGCCTCTATCTGAGCATGGCTACACAGCCTCAGACCCAGCTCCCTGCTAAGGCATCTTGGGAGGCAGTGGACGATGACGTAAGTGCTTGGGCTTCCAGCACCACATGGGGAGACCCAGATGGAATTTCTGGCTTTAGCCTGGCCCGCTTTCAGCTCTTTCAGGCATTTGGGAAATGAACCAGGGAGATGGAAGATAGATTTGTCCCTCCCTCTGTCACTTTGCCTTTCAGACAGAAAAAACCAAATAAGCTTTAAAATATTCTAACAAAGGAATCTGATGGGGCCCAGTGCGGTAGCCTAGAGGCTAAAGTCCTTGCCTTGCACACACCCGAACCCCATGTGGGCACTGGCTTGTATCCCTGGTGGCCCTGCTTCCCATCCAGCTCCCTGCTTGTGGCCTGAGAAAGCAGTCCAGGACGGCCCAAGGCCTTGGGACCCTGCACCTGCGTGGGAGACCCAGAAGAGTCCCTGGCTCCTGGCTTGGAATAGTTCAGCTCCGGCTGCTGCGGCCACATGGGGAGTGAATCAGCAGATGAAAGACCTTTTTGTCTCTCCTTATCTCTGTAAATCTGCTTTTCCAGCAGAAATAAATAAATCTTTATTTTTTTTTTTAAAGATTTATTTTTATTATTTTTTCATTGGAAAGGCAGATATACAGAGAGGAGAGACAGAGAGGAAGATCTTCCGTCCGATGATTCACTCCCCAAGTGAGCGCAACGGGCCGATACTATGCCGATCCGAAGCCAGGAGCCTCTTCCGGGTCTCCCACGCGGGTGCAGGTTCCCAAAGCTTTGGGCCGTCCTCGACTGCTTTCCCAGGCCACAGGCAGGGAGCTGGAAGGGAAGCGGGGCTGCCGGGATTAGAACCGGCGCCCATATGGGATCCCGGGCGTGCAAGGCGAGGACCTTTAACCACTTGCGCCACCGCGCCGGGCCCAATAAATAAATCTTTAAAAAAAAAAAAAAGAAAAGAAAGAAAGTCAGAGAGGGAGACAGAGGGAGAGAGGGAAAAGAAAGGAATTGAATTTGATGAGAGGTCTTTCTTCATATTTCCTTTCTGATGCATTAACCTCAAGAAGAGGGAACCCGGGCCTGGTGCACTAGCCTAGCGGCTAAAGTTCTTGCTTTGCACGTGTCAGAATCCCATATGGGTGCCGGTTCTAATCCCAGCAACCCCACTTCCAATCTAGTTTGTGACCTAGGAAAGCAGTCAAGGTGGGCTCAAAGCCTAGGGGCCCTGCACACGCATGGGAGACCAGGAGAAGCTCCTGGCTCCAGATCGGTGCAGCTCTGGTCGTTGCAGTCACTTGGGGAGTGAACCATCCGATGGAGGACCTTCCTGTATCTCCTCCTCTCTGTATATCTGCTTTTCCAATAAAAAATAAACAAATCTTTAAAAAAAAAAAAGAGGGAACCCATGAGGAACAAATGGCATCACTGTCACTTGAGAGTTGTGACACTTGAGTGTCACAATTGCATGACACACACCTAAGATTTCCAAAACACTAAAACATCCATTCCCATGTGGTCCCTTCTTACGACAATGGCAAAACGAATCCCAGGCAGGCTGTAGGTTTTGCTGAATTCTTAGTGTATGCACTCAACAGAGCTCTCAACATAAAACAAATCTGAAAAAGCTGATGTCACTTTACCACTAATTTTAGCAAACTTGATCACCACAGTCCCTGGACTTCCTAGGCAACCTGTAAAAAAGTTGCAATAAAACACAGCAGCTGTGGAGAACAACCATTCTTAATCACTGTAGAACTCATGGGACTGGTGGGTCAGTGGTTCTGCCATTGCGGGGTGACAGTGTCTAACACTGGGGTACAGAATCAAATGACTGACTACCCGAGTCTCCCTAGAGCAGCCACATACGATCTTCCTGCTCAGAGAAGTGAGTTTAGGACTGAATATTTTTGTCTTCAAAAGTATGTTAAAGTCCTCACTGCTGGTACCTGTAAACATGGCCTTATTTGGAAACAGATCTTCAGGAATGGAATCAAGTCAAGATGAGGTCACCCTGGATGAGGGTGGGCCCTAAACTGTAGATTGGAGTCCCCATAAAAAGGCTGTGAACAAACAGCTGAAGCCCGTCTTGTGCTGAGGTGGAAAGCGAAGGTGGACCAGCACGTGCCAAAGGCTGCCAACAACCCCCAGAAGCTGGAAAGGGCAAGGGTTCTCCACGGAGCCTTAGGGAACAGTTTGTACCAGCACCTGCTTCTCGCTCGGACTTCCGCTGTCGAAAGCCCGAGCTGTTGTGGAACTTTGTCGTGGCAGCCCTAGGAGGCCAGGGCACCTTGCAATGGCTGTCCATCTCAGAAAGAAACCAAACTGCCATGACGAAGGGATCTGGACATCCCCTCAGCTCACCGTCCCTCCTTCCCAGCCTCCTCTGCCTGCCAGCTGGCACTGCCCGTCAGCGGGCGCACCGGCCTCCCTGCGACTCCACCAAGCCGACAGCCCAAGGTCTCGGCCGCAGCAGGCCACTCCATCTCCCCTTCACCGAGCCTCTCTGCTGGGAGGGTTCTTCCCTCCTGCTTCCTCCGTCTCCCTCATGTCTCCTTCTTCAAGTCACCTCCCGTGTGATGTGTCCCCCTAACTGCCGGCATTTCCCACCCTCACCCCACGATCCTCACCCTCCCTGCCCCCGCTCCACTTCCTCACACACCGAAATGTCCACACCCATTTTCCTTAGCCCTTAACTGGGCTCTTCTCAGTGTGTGCTGAATCACAGCGAGCTATGTAGAAATGAATGAATTCTTTCCGGACAGGTGAAATTTTACACAAAGCTGACTGGGTGGTGAAAAACGTTGCTCCTAATGAAGTGGCTGCAGATGGGAGAGCAGGCTGCAGGTGGGTGCCCAGGGGCCAGGCAGACAGTCCGTGAGGTCTGCCTGGCAAGCTCCAGGGGCCGTGGACCACCGCCCCCCTGTGGAAGAGGGGTAAGCAACTCTGAAGCAGCCTCACAAGATCTTTATAAAAGCAAACAAACTCTTACTTATAATTTGGGTCTCTGGCCACACCCCAAGAGAATGTAATTTAGTCTGAGCAGCTGGGAAACCCAAATCTAAACCTAGCCTCACCAATGCATGACGCGGGCATTTTTATTGTTTAGGGTCTGAGGAGAAGGTCCAGGAAAAACATTTGCTAATGCTACTGCCCTGCGAATACACAAGCGCTTCTCAGAGTGGAAAACTTCTGATCATCACATTCCTTAAAAGAAACAAAAAGCAAAATCTTTTCAGTCAAGCCAGGAGCTTGAAAAACAGCTCCTTCCGCGTGAAGGAGGCCATCCACACCCTTTTCCAATCCGGTCTGAAGTCAACACTTTTTCACTTTTTTCCTTCCTTAATTTACTTTTTTTTTTTTTCAAAAAAATGTAAAAGCACATTTAGCAGAAAAAAAAAAAAATCGAAGTTTTTCTCTACCTTGGGTTCTGGCCCCCGGTCCTGCCAATCCTGCAGCTGAATCACAGGACTCCTTGAGGGGCGATCTGATGGGCGTTTCGGCTTCAGGGGTCTCAAAATTACCGTCAGAATCCGAGCTGCCAAGGGGGAAAAATGAGGAATTACCACTTTCAACGGTATTTCCGACACCCTCTGAAAGCCACCTAAGCACGAGGGCTCCGCTGCGGCATTTCCGGCTAACTTTGGAGCACAGCTGGGCCAGCAGGAGGCTGCTGGGGTCTCCCCCTCTGACCTCCCCTCCGGAGCTTTGCTCCAGCACCACGCATCTGCGAGGTCATCCGGGAGCGGGTGGAAACGGTGCTGGGGGGCTTTGCCAACAGACTCCTTTTCTGGCGAGGCCTTGCCAGAGCTCGAAAGATCCCCGTGGGGTCCTCCCTCACCCCCTCCAGCAAGCCCACTTTTTCCTCCGCAGGCCACTCCACCTGCCAGGAATGCCCTGGGCCAAGACACGCCGCTGCTGTCACCTGTCCTTCGCAATCACGCGGCTGCAGAGCCCACCATGTCTCCCAGCTGCCGGGGGCCTGTCAGCGCGCGACCTGCACGCACGGCTGCTGCGGGGGCCCCCCCAGGGCCGGCTGTAAACTCCACCGGGGAGGCGTGTGCGTGTGTGTGTGTGTGTGTGTGTGTGTGTGTGTGTGTGTGTGAGACGGAGTAGGGGCGGGGGGCCGGGACGCCAAAGCCCGGTGAAATCTGACCGAGGCGGATGCGGAGAGACTGCAGATCCTGGGTGGGTTCAGGAAGGGGAGAAGACGGAACATCCTGAACTTTCGATCGCACCGCGGGGAGGGGGACCAGTTACCGCGGCGGGGAGCCGGCAGCACCGACCCCAACGCGGGTTAAGGCGGGTGGGCGACTGCACACACGCACACGGACACACGGACGCGCACACGGACACACGGACGCACGCGGCCGGCGGGCGGGGACGAGGCGCGGATGGAGCAGCCACAGCGCTAGCACCGGTGCACCTCGGCGGGGGATGCTGTGTACTTGCCTGAAACTCAAGGATTTGGTCTCGGCTTGCGAGTCCTCCTCCTCCTCGGGGTCGCCCTCGGGGCCTCCGGCCTCGTCCTCGCCGGCGCCCCCGCCGCGGACGGCTGACCACGTCCACTTGGCCCACTGCACGGGGGACAGGATCTGCCAGGGGCTGAACGCCATGAGCGCGGCTCCTCCGGCCTCCGCTCGTGGCGGAGGGGCGGCGGACGGGGACGGGGAGAGCCTTCTTTTCCTTTCAAAATGGAGGGAACCGGTGACAGGCGCCCGAGAGCGTTTCCAGGCGAGGCGCGGATGTGGTTCAACGAGCGCCGTCGGGGGCCCGCGGCGGACAGCCCGCTTCCTCCTCGTCCTGGCTTCCACCCGGCGCCCTCCGCGCCCAGCTCGCCCAGGGCGAGGCTCTCTCCGGCGGGGCCTCCTCGGGACCCCGGGCCGCGGCGCCCGGCGGCTGCAGCTCTCGGGTCTGGGGCGCCCGCCTCTCGGCCGGCCGGGCGCGCATCAGCTGCTGCTGCTGCTGCGGGAGCCGCGCCCCAGGAGCCGCCCCCTCGGGCTGCACCACTCGCGCGCGCGGCCGAGGGGGGCGGCGGCGGCGCCGGGCCTTTGAAGTAGGCGGCGCGGCTGTCGGGTCCCCCCTCCGCCGCCGTGCGCGTTGGTTCCGCCCCGCGCGCGGGCCAGGGGGCTTCCCGGCGACGGCGACGGCGCCTCTGGCTGCCGGCCGAGGACCCCGGCGTCCCAGCTCTGGCCTCGTCAGAGACCTGAGAAATCCGATTTTTTTTTTAATTAGCATTATTATTTCCGAGTCCGGCCGCGCTGCGTTTTTTCCGCCTTCCGTTTTTATGTGTTTTATTATTATTATTATTATTATTATTTTGGTATGGGCTACTGTCACTTAATGGCGTTCGTGGTACCGGTCTGCAGGGAAGTTAGGCCCCTTTTGGAGGGAGGGAGCGGGGAACACGAAACTTAGAGGTGACGAGAGATCGCGCTTTCCCCTTCCCTTCCCTGGACAGCGTGGACCGTTTGGCCTGCTCGTCTTGCTCCCAGTCACTTGCAGCGTGTGGGGATCCGTCAGTAACGGCTGCCAGGCTGCCAGGTGCCGAGGTGGCAAAGGGCAGGAGCTGGGGGTCGCAGGGGTCTCCCCGCCCCGCACGATGCTCTGAGGTGACCAGGTGTGCACAGACCTGAGAAATCCACTCCTGGTCCAGGCTTCCTTTCCGACAACTTTCCAGAGCTTTGCTTGCTTCCCAGAGGAAGGCGGAGGCTGAGGGCAAGCTGGATGGCAAAGGGGATGGCAGCCATCCTTCGTTTTCCATGTAGACTTTTTTTTTTTCTCCTCCCGCCTGGTCGTATCACCGCTTGCACTGGAGTCGGTTGCCTCAAACATTGGGCAGGAGGGTGACCTCATTCGGATGAGGTGTTCTTGGTACCAAACCGTTTGTCATTGTCCTGGGTTGCCACTGGGTGATAAAAACGAGAGCCAAAATGACACAGGGCTGCGCGGTTGGTCTCGCCATCATGGAAGGGCAGGGATTCAAAGAAAAAGGAGATGCTTTAGAATTCATTCCAGCCTCTAGCCAAAGATAAACACGGCTCTCGGGCGTGTTCTGCAGCCTGCCAAGTGCAACAGGCTGGCAGGAGTCCTGATTTTAGGCCCACAGGAAAAATACCACATTATCTGACTGTTTTGAGGGTTTTTTCACCAAAGTAAACTTTAGATCCAGGCTCCTGGGTACCAGGATTTGATACCAATGTTCCAATGCTTGCTTGCCTAGAAATACTGCTACCCACATATTAGGTCCTGTTCGTCCATTCTGGTGCATAGCTCTCAACATTTGCATTTCTCTGCACCCTGCTGTGGGAGCACCTCCTAAAAAATACACAAATCCTCTGGGTTGACGTGAGGTGGCAGTTCCTCATCCCTGGCTACTGGGACGTGTGGAAAGTCATGAGTGGTTTCCCCCCTTTGTTTCTACCCTTCCCCAGGAACAACAAGAAAAAAGTAGCAGATTTGGAAGCAATGAATTGCCCCAATTTTCCCTAAACCTCCATCCTTCCCACCCTGATCAACCATGTAATCATTAAAAAAATAAAATGTATTTAAAAAAATAAACAAATCAGGGCCTGGCACAGTAGCCTAGCGGCTCAAATTCTCGCCTTGCCCGCATTGGGATCCCATATAGACGTCAGTTTTGTATCCTGGCGGGCCCCACTTCCCATCCATCTTCTTGCTTGTGACCTTGGAAAGCAGTGGAAAACAGCGCAAAGGCTTGGGACCCTGCACCTGCATGGGAGACCCAGAACAGTCTCCTAGCACCTGGCTTCAGATGGTCACAGCTCTGGCCATTGCGGTCACTTGGGGAGTGAATCATCAGACAGAAGATCTTCCTCTGTCTTTCCTTCTCTCTCTATATCTTACTTTCCAATAGAAAATTACATTAAAGTAATATACAAATCAAAATTGCTAGCAAGATCCTGAAATCTATTTAACCAAAAGGCCTGGGAAACTGTTGCAAGGTCAATTGCAGCAGTAATGTCTAGCTTGAACCAACTAACTACTGTTTTTGAAACAATAATCCCTTCGCCTGCAGAACTGAACTTTTATGGGGGCGGGGGGGAACTTCTCCAACCCTATCCCAAGATCTTGGTCCTCCACCATCTAGACTTCATTCATTATCCAGCCAAGGGTCAGGACTGGGAAAACAGGCTCATTTTCCAGCTTTTCTGCCATTTTTGTATCCCAAACCCTCATAGAGGCAATCACTGGGATAGTTTAGTGACGGGAAAGGGGCATTCTGAACAGTCATGCCAGGACTCTCAGCAGAATGAACAATGTCCCTCCAGGGGTCTGTGCTGTGGTGCCACCTGCAATGTGGTCATCCCATTATGGATGCTGCTTCGAGACTTGGCTGCTACACTTTTTTTTTTCAGTAGATTTATTTATTTTTTCAGAAAGGCAGATATACAGAGGGAAGGAGAGACAGAGAGGAAGATCTTCCACCTGCTGATTCACTCCCCAAGTGGCCAGAACAGCCAAAGCTGAGTTGATCTGAAGCCAGGAGCCTCTTCCGGGTCTCCCACATGGGTGCAGGGTTCCAAGGCCTTGGACCATCCTTGACTGCTTTCCCAGGCCACAACCAGGGAGCTGGAAGGGAAGTGGAACAGCCGGGACATGAACTGGCACCCATATGGGCCGGCCCAAGTGGATCGGCCCCTGTACCCATGTAGCAGATGGAAGAAGCCTCCTGCAGTAACTCCTAGCTTCAGACTAGCCCAGCTCTGGCCATTTTGGCCATTTGCCGAATGAACCAACATATGAAAGAATTTCTGGGCCCGGCGGCATGGCCTAGCGGCTAGGGTCCTCCTCGCCTTGAACGCGCCAGGATCCCATATGGGTGCCGGTTCTAATCCCGGCAGCTCCACTTCCCATGCACCTCCCTGCTTGTGGCCTGGGAAAGCAGTGGAGGACAGCCCAAAGCTTTGGGACCCTGCACCCGTGTGGGAGACCTGGAGGATGTTCCTGGATCCTGGCTTTAGACTGGCACAGCACCGGCCGTTGTGCTCACTTGGGGAGTGAATCATCGGACGGAAGATCTTCCTTTCTGTCTCTCCTCCTCTCTGTATATCTGACTTGGCAATAAAAATAAAGAAATCTTAAAAAACAAAAGAAATAACTTTTTTTAAAAAAGTTCCTTTTCACAAGGCAAATGACTACTCGTTTAGTAGAGTTACTGTGGGAATATGGCAAGAGGCAGGGTGGGCCATAATTGTGAAAGATTCCATATGCTTGCTGAAGGGTTAGAACTTGCTTCTCTGGTATGGAGAACAAACACAAACGGCCACCCAGCTAGGGGAAGGGAGTAATGGGGCCTGGGTGCCAGTGGGGTATCTGGACAGCGACTGCCCTACCCAGTTCCTGCTGCCCAATGTTGCCATCAGGCATTTTCATACAAAACCAAAATCCTCGTTTTAAAAGAAACTTCACAATATTATATGTTTTTACTAGCTTCAGTTGTCGCAGGAAAAACAAAGCCATCTGTGATTCTATTGTGTACAAAGAGCCTTGACTGGCAAACAGGAAGCATGAGGCGTCGAAGCAAGTAAAACTTCCATTTAGAAGGATCATTCTGGAAACTGGTTTTTTTGACCGAAAGGTTAAAACCCTGCTTTGGGAGGCTGGCGCAGTGGTGTAGTTAGTTAAGCTTCTCTTTGCAGTGCCAGTATCCCATAGGGACGCTGTTTCGAGTCCTGGCTACTACACTTCTAATCCAGTTCCCTGTGAATGTGGCTAGGAAAGCAGTAAAAAGATGACCCGAGTCCTTGGGACCCTGCCACCCACATGGGAGACCTACAAGAAGCTCCTGGCTCCTGGCTGCGGATAGGGCCAGCACTGGCCATTGTGGCCACTTGGGGTGTGAACCAATGGATGGGAGATCTCTCTATGTAGATCTCCCTTTCCAGTGAAAATAAATACATCTTGAAAAAAATAACCCTGCTTTGGGAAGCCTGCATCATGTGTCACAAACCTGAGTCTGAATCCAGCTCCAGCTCCCATATTCTTGCTACTATACACCCAGCATGACTGTAGCGTCTGTCTCAAGCATTTGAGTTCTTCATTACTGGCTTCAGCCTGTGCCAGTCTTAGCTGTTGTATGGATTTGAGAAGTGGGCCAGTATATGGAGGATGTCTATCACTCCTTCTCTGCCTTCAAATAAATTGAAAGCGCATAAAATATTTTGTTAAAAATATCACTGCAGTAACAGTTTGACAGCTGAGATGGAGGGAGCTGAGACTGGGAGAAGACAAACACTATCGACTCTTAGCTTTTTAAAAATTTCTTAAGATTTAGTAATTTTTTTAAATTGGAAGGTCAGATTTACAGGGAGGGGGAGAGACAAAAAAAATCATCTGCTGGTTCACTCCCCAAGTGGCCAGAGTGGCCAAGCTATGCCGATCTGAAGCCAGGAGCCAGAAGCCTCTTCCGGGTCTCCCATGCGGGTGCAGGGTCCCAAGGCTTTGGGCCGTCCTCGACTGCTTTCCCAGGCCACAAGCAGGGAGCTGGAAGGGAAGCAGAGCAGCCGGGACACAAACCAGCGCCCATATGGGATCCCGGCACATGCAAGATGAGGACTTTAGCCACTAGGCTACCATGCCCCAATCCTTAGCTATTTTACCCCTTGAAAACTTCAGTCCATGTCTCTGAGATGACAGAAATGCCACTAGGCAGAGTTCTACTGTTTTAGCTTCTAGAGATCCTAAGGGGAAAAAAAGAAACTGTATTTTTGCAACTAAATAGTGGTAGAGAACATCCAGCCACGGGCCACATAAGATATATAATATCATGCAATCTCGGGCCCGGCGCCATTGCCTAGTGGCTAAAGTCCTCGCCT